TATTTGAAGAATTGAAATGAACCGCAATTATCATGCATTTATTTCAAAGATGATGAGTTTTAAAGTAATTTTGTCTTATATAGTATCAGATCAATGAATGTTCGGCGTTCCTCTCTTTGAATTGCTGAACATCACAGGTCGCTAACAGTTGCACTGTCGAGCTATTGAGCTTACGATCATCTGTTTCTAATTCTAACGTAGACACTAAAAAGGTGAAATCAGAATATCTCTATCTATTTCTAAAAGTTCATTCAAATAAATTAATATATATTGAAATGAAACAAAAATACAAATGGAATTTCAAAAAATTAGCCAATTAATATAAACACTCAATATTTATTTTATTTTCGTGTTCTAAGGCTGAATAAACAATGTTAGAAACTACGTTCATTTTTAAGCTAAGGGACAATGTTTTATCCTAATTATGAAAATAAGAAATCTATACAACGCTAATATATCATAGAATTCTGTTGGCAGATTCCCTGATATATCGAACAATATGTTTAATAATGATCATAAAAGTGATACAGATGTGCCATTAAGATATTGACTGAAGTAATGAATATATGTAGGGTGTCTGGAAAGTCATCTATCAAAAAAAAACCGATTTCTATATCTCTACTCTATTTTGATCAGATAAACTAGTTTTTTTTCGTGATGGACAAAGTACACTTAGAAGTTTTTTTTCTGATCAACAAAAAGTTTAGCAATATCACTTAAAGAGTCGATTACTCTATATTCTTAAGTTTTCTCACCTTGTGAAATAGTTTGTTCGCAATATTTCAGTTAGTGTTTAGTCTATCTAACTTCTCGGACGCTTAATAATAGCATACTTTAGAATGTTGATGCTCTGTTTACTTTATTGTAGAAAAAATACTACTACTCTGTATGTTTTAATAAATACATAGATCTCAACACGAGAAATAGCTATAAGTTAACTATAAAATAAAAGTCAACCAAGTGTAATCAGCAAATAATGTATATATATACGTATATAATGTGCTTCATATGAAATAATAGGAAAAAAACTTTCATAATGGACACAGGATTAGATTTTCACTTATAAGAGTCATTTGTGTGCTTGAAATACAGAAAATAAATAACTAACCTAGTTTTAAAAATGACTTGTTCAATTTCATTCAACATTCTTCCATAAAACTATAAAAACCTATTTATGCCAAACTGACAAGAAGAGAATAAGTCATTCACATGTATAACAATAAATATACAAATACACAAAGATACGACTATAGAATAAATACATACATATAAATAGATATCATTCTATTAAAAATTATATACAGTTTAGTTGTCAACAAAGGCCACATCGAAGGTGCTAAAAACGCATACACTAAACCATAATCAGAAACGCTTTATAATATCAGAATCTAGTTAATGTATTGCATAAGGCAAATATTGTTACATTGAAGAAAGCAAATGAAATATTTATAAATAATTTAACACCAAAAATTGATTCGTATGTTGTAAAAAGAGAAAATCTAATTTGAGTAGCATCTGCAGTCTAAACTTGTGGCAAATTTTGAGTTATTTTGTCTGAATATCATCATATGTCTTTTATGGATCTCAATATCAAGCAAAGCCATTCGTCTATCAGTGTTATCTTATGTAGACGAGGAATATTCAAATAAATAGTTGCATAGTCAATTATTATAAAGTTTTAAGCATTGCAGAGACTGATACGATTGTCCCGCATCCTTGCTCGTGTTTGTTTGTGTTGTGCATATGCGTCTCATTCGGTCGACTTTACCAACAAGTTTCGCAAGGACTAATTAGCTACTCCCACTGTCTTGCAGTACCTCTGGAACATTCTGATAGCATAGGACGTGCTTCTCAAACTTCTGTGAGATGTTGGCATTTGGTTGAGCAGCAGTATGGGACAATCTCATCAATCTCTGATGCATTGTATTCAAGCAATGCTGTTTCAATTCATAGATCTCTAGTTCCAATAGCAGAACACTTCTTGTTTATAACAACTAATGATGCCTATTTATCCGAAGCAACACATGCACTCGTAGTCATATATAAGTTAAAATCTATTAGTTGTCATACTTAATTAGGGTTTTCTTTAATAAAAATAACTCATCACTAGGCATGCAAAGTATATCTTTCATGACAATACTATACGACATATGACTTTGTTCTGGAATAATTTAGTATAAAATACAATTGAATATCATGAGGAATACTTGAAACAAATTTTTACACAGATGATAAATTGTTTTAAAGCTATCCATTTGAAACATAAGTCGAGAGAAGATTATTGTGATTGCAGAACGTTGCTACAACTTCTAAGTCTTGTAAAAATACAGCCATGAAAATTGACACAATCATGTCTAATGGCATAAATCTTCGATCGACAATAGTTTAGTATGATCTACAGATACGATTATATCAAAGTCTATTTTTTATATTTACTAGTGTAGAAGAAAAGAAATTTCTTAAGAAAGAATATAAGAAAAAAATCGTAGTTTTATTCTAGATGGAAACACTCTACTTTTATACTTGAAATTAATTTAGGCTATATTTAAATATGCCAAGCTTACTTTGAACTACTTTAAACTACTTGAAGTCAGGTAATCTTTTCGATCTCCTTAAAAGTACTTCCAGTCACATTAAAGTTGCTTAATCTAATCTGAGTCATACACTCAACATACTATAACTTTAGGTCGCTCATTTCTGGTAATTAACAGTACGACATAGAAAACTCGATATGCGCTAGATCTTGTTAACTGACCATTCAATTGACTATTCAGGACTGGAACTACAGCATGTCTATAAGAAACACAATTTATATAAGAGAAAGAGCAATATTGATTATAGTATTATGTATATATAGATATATATACATTTTAATCATTGATTTAGAAAGATGAGAAAAAGAAAAAGAAATAGGTCATCCTAGTAGTAAAACAGCATACTTCAAATTAGTGTTATAAACTACTTCTCCAGACCATGTCCCCAATTTTTCTCTAGAAGTTAATTTCTAATCTTGGTTTTGAAAATTATTTTGACGCTGAGTAAAAAAGAAACTTAGTTTTTGCTAGATCTTTCACATGAAATAATTGCTACACAATGAAATCTTGAACAGATTTTACCATCAAAATAAATAGTGGAAAGGAGAACTGTTTAGAGAATATAGATGAGTCTACAGCCGAAGCTCAGGTCATGTCATATAATTATCAATAGTTAAACTCAAAATGTTCTTTCTTTCGTATGTACTTATACATAAATCGTGCAAGAGGCTTTGAACAAAGTTTCTATTATTGTTATCGTATGGTATTGTTTATTTAATGTTTGTTAGTCATATGCATAATAAATTGAAGAAAAAAGATAACATTTGTATTCATTACTCAAACATGTTAAAAAGGACGTAGTATAAAGCGGAGCTTATATGTTATAGCAAAAGTTAAAAACCTTTGGAACAGCTATTTTACATAAGTATAAGATGACACAGACGTTTAATATTCTATAACCATTTTTACTACTATAATCGATTGAGAAAAAGTACAAAGAATCTCAAAATGTTCGACATTGACTCAAACATATAGATAAGGTTAAAATCTTGCTTCTGTAATATGAGCTTCTCCCCGATATTAGAAGTCCCCGAATCTCCAGCTAAGTTTCTAAAATTTCCCAGCAACGTTCGGTCAAATTTTTTGCAGGACCAATTAGAAGCTCCCGAACCTTCTAATACGGTGGGAGGCCGTCTACAGAATAATGAATTCTGTTTAAATAGAGAAGTTGAATCGAATGTGTAACATGATGCTACAATATTTAGGACACAATAAGAGAGTAGGAAACAACATCAAATGTTTGTAGTTTACGATTGATTGCATTAAGTCTTACGTTTCACTACAATAGAAATACTTCGACAGCACATTTCATATACAACATGTGCATTCATGAATTTTCAATTTTCAAAAATTTAAATGCAAATTTAGATCTTTCGAGTTGAGATTAGATTTATAAAGATTTGTAAAAAAAATTTTTGATTCATTTTTCATCATTCTAACTCGCTTTAATTATTAATTACTACACATACACATAGCAAAACAATCACATGAAAAGTCAAACTCTTGCACTGCTTTAAAAGTTTCTGTTATTCTTGATGTTGCTTTAATTAGACAAATAATACGGTATTATTTTTCAATAAAACCTGAATAGGTCTGTATCTTTAAACTTGATACATAAGTCCGATTCGAGATTATCTCACTATTATGCAATCAAAGTATGTGATCCTAACATGTATTTATTTAGCGAAAAATCACTTCTGTCTGTTCTCAATGATAACTAGTAAAAGTTTAATTGTATGCATCTTACATTGATGTACATAGCATGCTTACCTTCGACGAAAACAATTCTTTCTATTCCATTATCGTGACGGTTTAGCAATAATTAAAGAAAAATTTTTCAATGCGTCACATTCATATGAAAATCAAATTAGGATTTTACTCAATAAGTCACTTTCTAGATTTTTAAGAATATTGCTACCATCACAATGATGTATGTTAGAACGAATGATTTATGAAATCAAAAAACCTATTTATTTAATTATAGACATATATCATTATTTACACATATTTAATAACAATAGGCGAAAGACAGTTTTGGTTTTACTTTAAGGTAACAGCAACTCATAAAATAACGACATCATTATGAGCTTTCTTTCTTCCGTACATTGAGCTATCAACTATTGTTCTTTAAAATGAACTGGAATTAAATAACGCAAGAAGACATATTTCTTTTTCTTCAAAAAAAAAGAATCTTTTCACTCTTCTTTTTCGTACAATTATGCATTAGTTACTGTTACATGTAAAGTTTTGTCAGTATCTGACTTAATTTATGTATCCAATACAACCATGCAGTTCGATTATCACAAAAAAATCTTATCTTAAAAAAATGACATATGATTTATGAAAAAAGATCTATATAACCGTCTTTATTTCCATCTTGTCGCTTGCTTTTTGCATTTCGTTTTGCTATGAATTCTTGCATCCTATTTTATTTTGTAAAGCAACAAAGTATTGAGAATTATTGAAGCCTTTTAAGCCATCCATTCCAGCGCCTAAGACTTCAACAACATGAAAATAACGATATAAAAGTGGTAAACGAATAGGTCCATATAGACGATGTAAATTAAATTGGACTAAATCTTCAAAGTTCAAAGGTACACCCAAAAATAGAAATCCACCAGGTTTAAGAATACATGTTAGTTTTACCATTGTTTGAAAGTCACCATATGGATTTAATGGATCTCGATATCGACCAAAACCATCATGTTCAATACTGCGATATGACCATATACTATCAAATAATTGTTGTCGACTAGTTTTATTCTGTTGTTGTCTTGCAAACTCCATTGGTGTTATCGTAAATAGACGAGGAGTACTCGAATAAATCGTTGCATATTCAATCGTTGTAACACTTGATGCATTATATTCAAGTAGTGCTGCTTCAACCCATGGATTTTCAGTACCAATGACAGCACATTTCTTGTTTATAATAGCTAATGATGCATATTTATCTAGTGCAGGATATATATCTCGATTGCCGTATGAACCATAATTTTGTTTTGCTCGTAGTTGTTTGCGATAAGTCTCAATTAAATCAACTGTCCAATTCGCTGGCAAAGCATTACCTGCGCGAAAATCTTGACCTTCATAAGCAACTCGTATTGTATAGTTCAGTGTAAAATTAGATAAAAGATGATCCGGTATTCGGTTAATATGTTGACGTGTTAGTGGCAGAGTGTCTTTAAGCCATGCATTATAAGTGGGACATTGATCAGTATCAGGATTACAATAAATATTATGTTGGATGAAGTGAGGATGAGGCTTACGTGGAAGAAAAGAACATGAAACAAGTTCGTTATTGTCAATGTTAATCCACGGACAGATGCCAGCGCAAACATAAATATTTCGACTTTGATTGCATGGTGGATCAATTGAACCGTTAATGGAGAGTAACCGAGCATATGCATACAAATCGATGATAGATAATTGTGGTTGAAAAAATACTCTATGAATTTGAGGTTTGTTAAGTAATAGAGTCATAACTGTTATAAATACAACAGTCATTGTGACGAAAATTCTGTAGTCCTTGTTCATTATTATGATCTAGAAGTATCATACACTTCACATAAAAGTTGCATATGTTTAGGATTAGTTGTATGAGGTATATTTTATTTTAAAAATAGCATTTCGAATCGTTCAATATGATTCAAAGTTTGATAGTCATAATTGTAAATTATGTTATTTCATTCAGTAAACTATACTTTGCACTTCCACTATGTTTGTAAAGAGAGAGATGAATCGAAAAAGACACAGTGAAAGGCATTCCCAAGAAAAATCAGTTGTGTAGAAATCAGTTAGACATGATCAAAAGTAAACTTCTCGTGTTTATACTTCTTGTGCATTACGAATGTTCCGATCTTGATACTGAATCAATATATCAATAATAACTGAAGCTATCCTTCTCAGTGAATAATATCATTTAAACAAGGTCGAACTATTTTTTGTTCACTAGAACGAAAAGAATAACGTCTAGAAACGGCAATTCAGCCACGTTTATCTATCTGCAAAATAGTTACCATATAGTAATAAGGGTCCAAATGATTATATGGTATCTGTAGTATGGGCAATAATATAACTATAATTGTGCAAATGACTGTATAGAACAACAAAAAAAGAGTACCTACACATAAGAATTAAAACTAGCCGAACAGTACTATCCCAAGATATAGAATAGGAAATCCGTATACATTCTGTATTTCATCGAGCGTAATATGAACCATGCGATAAAGAGTGAGTAATAAATAGCTCTACTATAAAATGTTGAAATATCTCCACTTCAGTTTGCTCGCATGGGTTTATACTTTACTTAGTGGTAGCAGCTTATTTTAAGATTTTTTTTAGTATTGATAGTGCAAACAAATACTATTGTCAAATTAGTTATTTGGTCCCACCAGGGAAAGGTCACCTATTCTCAAGTACGAAAAATACGTATAACATGGTTCGTATATAGTTTTCAACAGTTATCTTATAGAATAATCAGAAGAAACCAAAATGAACTTTGTAAATAATACTACATTGATCTAGTTTTCAAAACTACTCGGCTAGTTTAAAAATCAAAAATTATAAAATTTTGAATTTTCAAACATGGTGACTTGACAGTAGTATTTGTTCACGTTACCTGTATGAAAACAAGAACTTTAAATAAGCTTCTACCATTAATTAAAAAAATTAGTCCATTCGAATGAACCGAAGAGAAAATATTTCCATTTTGTAATGTAGTGATATGTATAGTCTACGCTGTACGTCAATAAACGACGATTCACGATCATTTACAAACTTACTTTATCAACCTAGTTGTGATGACTTTAGATAGCAGAGTTACTAGCGCGGATAATAATACGCTTCATTGAACTACTTCATATGATAGATCGTATTGTTTACATTACAAGTACACGTTTTCATTATCAAGCAGAAGAAAGCAAAAGAAAAATAAGTTGTGAAAGAGTAGAAAAAACGATAGGCGATTAATGATATATAGTTACAGCAGAACAAAAGACAAAGCATATGAAAAAAAGAAATAACGAGGTTTAAAAATCATGTACGAACAGTCAATTCAATCAAGTGGTGACAGCAGATAATGATGCACAATAAAATCCACCGATAAAGTCATACTGATATGTTTTTAGGACAGTTGATTATTGCTATTAAACTATGTAATGGTTCGATCGATTGTTCAATGCTGTGTACATGAGAATGTCATGTGATAATGATCAAGAGTTAAAAAATGAGTCTCAACATAATATTATGATTGACTAAAATCAAGTTATCTCTCGCGTTCATATAGTTAATCACAAATAATTATATTCATTTCTATTTTATCTTCATAAATCAATAAATATGTTACACAGATTTTATTCTCAACATGAATACAACATTGATTAATATAAATGATGAAAAACTAGAATGTTTTCTATTTCAAGGTTTTTATTTAAAATATTCGAACTTTAAACATAAAAACCTCTAAAATCAGTATATTACGTTTTATGATCGCATATCATGCATATAAACTTATTAATTCGATCTATATCAATATATGACTAAGAAAATTTTTAATCTTAGTTATCATTTATCATTTTAAAGTAACATTAAGTTTTTAAGAACAATATTTAAAAACAAAAACAAAGAAATTTAGAATATTGCATGTATTAAATGAACTTTATTTTAATCAAGTTTAACACATTAAAAACTTAATAAACATAAAAATCAACTTTTATATTACGAAAAAAGTAGTCTTTGCTAAAAAATCGCTCTAATATGTCACATCACCTTTTTTTATTCGTCTATTACTGCACTCAATGCATGTTAATATCTAGATGTACTTATATACATGCATATATATATATTCCATCAGTCTAGGATCAAGTGAATTGAATTTTGATGCAGGTAACTTGTTTTATTTGACAAAATAAAGAGGGGAAAACTCGTTCACAATTGAATATTTGCACACATGGATATTAGCAGCTCGAAAGAAGTGCATTTTACATCTTTTTAAAATATGTATAAAAAAACTCCATCGAATGATATTAAGATATTATTTTGAAGACATAAATTAATTAATTTGTTGATAATAAAGTGTAAGAGTGCCTTTGTTCTAGGGATTTGATGCATGTAAATTTACCAATTTGTTAATTTTCTTTGTCCTATCTCTATCTAATATTTGGTAGAAATGATTTAGAAATTCGCTTCCAGATCTTCTTACAAAGATCAAAAAAAAATACAAAGTCTATTTGAACTCTATTAATTTGCCCGTTAGAATCTCTATCATATCCAAAGGAATTTATTTACCACTCTTCCTTTGGTAGTTTGAAGATTCTAAAGCAACTGGATATGAGTAATGTTGAGGTGTATCTTCTAATTCACACCCAGCAGCTTTTTTTTGCTTGTTTCGCTTTCAAATATAGTAAGGACAATAAATAAATGATTCCTATCTTCAAATGGTCTGTTTTAATAAAAAATTGATGACTGGCGCATTTCGAGACGAATATTGTAATTAAAATTTTGTTTATGGAAGAATAAATCTATGAAGAACTAAAATTTTCATCAGATGATATGCTTGATGTAAATAAAATGATGTGATTTACTACATACTCTCATTAATATGAAAAACAAAGCATATGTCATAATGACCAAGAATAAATTATCAATGATATTAGATAAAAATCAAAATGAATAGAAACCTTATATTTTCATGATCATTAATAAAATCTACGGAAAACAAAGAGTAACATAAGTGATGCAATTAGAAAGAATTTGTTGAGGTCATAAATTTCTCTCATATATCTATGTACAGTGTTAATCATGGAACTATCAATACAATGAATTATAACAGTGAAATAAGCTAAAAAAACTGACAAATGAATGCTAAACGAACTAGAACAAAGTATACATCATGGACATTTATAGAATATATCATTTGTGCGAATTACCGGATGAGTTCAAGAATCATTTCCTCATCTATTCAGATCTTTTGGATTTCTCTCTTTTGGATAGATGAAATTAACTGGTTGTATCGTATTTTATAGGATGTTAAATAGCTTTATCAATTAATATATACACAAACTTCAATAAAGAATAAGATTAGAGAATATGAATGTAAAAATAAGGTGATATGAGCTTATTTCCCATATTTTCTATGAAATAAAATTCTGATAAACAGATTGCATATGATATTATCAAATCATGATTTTATCAATTAATATTTAACTAAAATTAAAGTCTATATTTAAAATTTAAATTGTGCTTAAATATAAAAATGAACTCTTCTTTCAAAACTACAGTCTTATCGATTTCAATAGGCTTTTTTGTGATAAAATTTTTTTGTTATAAGAAGACTGGAGATTGCTTACAGATGGCGATGACACGATTATAATGTAGTCAGAATCAAGTTCTACGGTTTAGAAAGAGATATAATCTTTATTTCAGTCTTCAATTTAACCTATATTGCTCGATTAAACACTAGAATGATTTCTGTTCAGAATACAATGAAAACCACAGTAAAATAAATTGCGAATCTTGAAAGTTTTCAGAAGATTTTGATAAACTTCTACCAATTCGCAACATATGTTTGATGTCGTCATATTTTGGGATGTGGGCGTGGGTGGGAATGTTTGAAGAGATGACGGACATTCATACTAACATTGCCAGCCTCGCCCATACTCACTCGGACGGTGTGGGGTGTAGGTATGAATGTGAGAACGGCTACGGTTGTGGGTGGGTAAGGGGAAGACTGCGTATATAGGTATGAATGTCCGTTATCTCTTCATTAACAACGACATCCACACCCGTTTTGTGAAAACAAGTGTCCACAAAGCTAGTGTCGTCGGAAAACAGCTGTTGCGGGAGCATAGATTATGGAATCCTTTCTTTTTAATGTTTTTTCAAATAATTGTTAGCATTCATGTCTGATAATTATTGGACGTTATATTATATATTTCAATTTTGAATGCAGTTCTAATTAACTAGATAGACGAACAGCAAGGAATCTCATTTTATAGAGAGCAATGTGTGTAAATTTAAATTTTATCTATAGTAATTCAATTGTGTGGATTCATAAGTAGTATATCTGACACGTGTACATACCAAAGTTCTCACATGATCGCATATGAATTTTCTACATATGGACTCGTATGTCATCATCGGATAACTCGCGTATTGCATACGTTATGCTATCGAATGTATGCATGCACTTTTTTTATTATTTGAAAACGTTCAGATGCCTATGCAATGTTGAAACACGTTAAAATGCGTTTTTTAAAAGTAATTAGATGCGTTTATACAGATAATGGTGTATTTTTGGTGCAGGTGAACAAACGTCTCACACACCTACACTCGCCATCTGTATAAAACACTTGTATCGCACCATATATTTCATCATTGACAACTTTTTCTTTAGCATCACTTTTGTGTAGGAAATAAGTTTAGAGTAATAAACTCTCGTGTTCATTGGCTACTAGATTTTGAAAAAAAAGCTGTAAAAATGTGAGGAATAGAATTCAAACGTTTTCATGCAACGCTTTTTTATAAATTATTTCTCATACATTTGAACATTTTATGTTAAATATGAATTTATAAAACTCGACCATTTCGTCTAGGTTATTCGAATATTTGCCTAGTTTATCTCGTGGTACTTTGATTCTGAATTCATTTTAACGTGATGCGTTTCATAATGTACTCATGAATCATGCAATTCTTTTTCTTTTCATCTATTCTTTTCTTTTTTTGCCCTTGAAATAAAAAAAATATATAAAAACTACAGCAGGAAAGGTAACAAGACGTGTTTGTATTCATTATGAAATTAGAAAACGAAAAGAAAAAACAGCATAAGCTGAAGCTCAAAAAAAAATAATAGTTTCTATCCAAACTGCAATTGAAAATCGATAAAAAAATTAACACAAAACAATACAATGATGCATGATATACATTATTTTACTATGGGTAATATTCATCGTAAAAAATGTTAAGTCATGATAACTGACACAAATGATTAATTTAAGCAGATTGCTTTTCTCAATTACGAAACTAACATAAAACTTCTTCATCCTGCTATGTTCTATGTATCTTGTATACAATCACCATTATCTTACGAGAATAAATACAAACAAAAATTAAATAGACATTTATTTACTCAAATGAATCAATGATGAAATTTTGTTTTTCCTTGAAAATAGTGGGTTGCCTGACATACGGTAGGATGTAAAGATTGTAAATTTATTCAAGTCTTTTTTTACTTTCGATTTAATATGATGAAGCCAATCTTACATAGTTTCGATATTTTTTCTATTTCATTTACTATACAGGACAGTATAAAAAGTAGGAATTATTGATCTTGGTTTTTCTTATTCTATTTTTTATCGTCGTATTTGATTTTATGTTTCATGTTTATTTTCTGTACTCACATAACATGCATTCTCTCATCAATATCTTATGATTTACGATAGAACAAACACAATAGAAACTTCAGAATTCAAACTCATTAAAAAGGTGAAACACTGCAAAATACATAAAATCACCATTATGTTGTCTTCTGTGTGAACATTAATGGTAGTCAATATTGTTCCTGTAGAGCCTATTATCATTCATTGATTGAATAAAATAATCATGAAAACTTTTATTCGATTAAATATTCGAATATGGAAATAATTTTTAACAAAAACTATTTATTATTTTGATTCTTTCAAAGACGTAATACATCGATTGAATGTTGTTTGCGATTGGTGAGAGTTTAATACGATGTTGAGTTTATAAATGTAAAGATCGTATTTCATGTTTAAATGCGCACAATAAATTATTGAGGATACTTGAAGCAGACAATCATTAAACATCGTACTTTGTCGGAAAAATGAAAGTATTGGAAATCGTTGATTCAATTGATGCGCTTATTTATAAACAGTCTATCCAAACTAATGCATAAAGCTTAGAATCATTTTATCATTGTAGAAAGTTCTTTCATTTCAATAAAAAGAAGAGAGGATGCTTCTTGAGTTTTATATAAATTGCATGCACTTCGATGCAGGAAGACCATAGAAAAATCAGAGACGTATTATTTCGTTCAGAATCATTTGTTCTATCAAATAAAATCTTTTCTCAACAGCTTTGAGCAGAATCCAGAAAGCTAGCATTGTGAGTCTTGGCTTTTCAAAGACTCTCATTCAAGCAGTTGTATTGGAGTCATCGGGCCTACTAATCTTAATAGAATATTTCTTCAGTTACATAAACATGTTTTCAGATTTTTGCTAGTTATTACCGTTGATAGAAAAATTTAAGAATACAGCTGCTCTTTATGTATGCCCGCCATTATAAATTATTAAAAATCAGTGTAGAACTTCTTTTAAAGAACACAGATTTGCTCTACATACGATCGTTCTTTTATAAATGAATATTTCTTTAAATGTTTTCTTTGAGAGGTTTTTATAGATTAATTCTAATTCTTTTGTGTTTTTTTCATTGTTTCATATTCGTAGTGAATAGATGTGGACTTCTAATTTTCATCTAATTAATTCATAGGTAAACTGAAATTTATTCATTTAGAATTTTTTCATAATTACGAGACGTATTTATACTTTTCTAAGAAATCCGACTCTACCGTTAGAGTTAACTCATTATGTGACGATAAATATCACTTGTAATTTATAATTAACTCAGAACATTTACTTTCTCCTCTGTGTATTTACATTTTTGTTCTTGTTGCCACATTAGTAATTGATTTTGTTGATGAAAATTGACTTCCTGAGAAAAACAAATCAGTGAAAATTTTCTTAGGAGAACGATCATGTTTTTTCTCTTTTTTTGTCACTAATATAATTCTGTATCCCAGTCACTATCGAGCAAGCTATTTGATATTTAGAATCATTGCATTATGAAGACTTTTTCAAAAGTCTTAATGATCCATTTTGGAATTATTAGGTTATAGTCTTCTATCTATATCAGATGAAACAAAAAGGATCTCATGTATTGCCAATATTTGTATTCATCCTAACCGTTAAGATCGTCGTTTAGGGAACATAGTTTTGCGCCATATGATAGATTCTGTTTGTTGGATAGATTCCTTTACACTGTACCTTCAAATAAAGATATTGAATAAACATGGGTTTACAATCATTCGATTATTCAAGCAATATGATTTGAACAAATTGCATGCATACGTAATGTAACTGATTTTAAACTGAGTGGACTAAATATCATGATTTCTCAAACGTAATCTATTTCTTATTAATATACTTTTATATTGACCTTGTAATGTCGCCGATTCGAAAATGTTTCTTCAAAGAAAAGAGTATTGATTTTGATAAAAACAGTCAGGTTTGAAGGAAGAAAAAAAAATCTTTCAGGCTATGTTATTTTTCTTCATTGCATACGTGTTTTTACCTTTTCTTTTTTCTTTACAAAATCAGTATCTTCGCAGAAAGGACCAATTAAATATTTGAATTGATATAACTACGATATTAGATACTGTAACGGGGTGCAGGTAGACAAAAATAGCATTTGATAAAGTGTCACCATTTTTCTTCGCTTAAGTACAACAGAGAGATGTATAAACATGTATATTTTTAACAATAAAATATATGCCCTGATAGAAAAATAATACACTAGAAATAAATATTCTATAAAAAGTTTAATATTTCAAAAACGAAACGACATCTTGAAAAAATCTTTGAAATATTGCTTGTATGAATAATAGTATTCTTTTGTTTTTCGCCGAAAATTTTATACTATAAAAGAAAAACAAAACATTGACGCTTATCATTTCAGATCAACGCTTTTTTGTCAATGTCGCCATATATTCAAAATATTTCTCCTTCCTATGTCATACGTAGCTTACTACCAAAACCATGCGGCACATACATTTTACGATATCCAACGGCAAATGATGAATTGATTTCATTAATTAGAATCGTAGATCATTCACAAGAGACTTCTACTACCCATACTTATGTTATTTTATCAATACGTGTTGATGAAACTGTCTATAAATATTACATACAACATTATCGAGTACCTTATGTTGAAGAAAATATGTATAAAGATTCACAAAAACTATTAGAAATATATAATCGAGAACAAAATAACTTGAAAAATAGCAAGTTTACACCGTTACAGCATGAACTAATTCTTCCACCAGAAGATGAAAGTTGGTTTTTAGATAGAAAATATTTTCAAGATATTAATTTTGATAGAATACGATGTGCTGGCATGAATAATCAAGGTACATCGACAGCAGTTTGGCAATGTGAAAGACAAAACGATATTAAAGTATTTATCAAACGTTTCAAAAAAGATAATTCATACTTTCGACATGAACTTTCTTTACTGAAAGAGTTATGTCATTTCTCTATTATTACACTTTATGGACAGTTTTCGGACAATCATTATAGCTATTTAGTATTTGAAAATGGCGGTAAATCATTGGAATCTTGTTGCCCATTGAAATTTCGATCGATGAGACCAAAAATGAAATTTATAACAAATATTGGTTTTCAAATTGCTTATGCTATGATGTATCTTGAAAAGAAAAATATTCTTCATCGTGATTTAACAGCAAGCAATATTCTTATAGATTCTTATGGCTTTATACGAGTTGCTGATTTTGGTCATGCAATTCAAAAAGAAGAAGGAAAAAATACTCTCGAACGATCACAAACAACTACTGGAGAAAATCGATTTCAATTTCGTTTTCTTGCACCAGAATGTTTACCTGATGTAAAAAAGAGACAAATACCAGATAGATCGACAATTTTTAATCAACCAGATGTTTATGCAAGATTTTCATCGAAGAGTGATGTCTGGTCATTTGGTATTGTATTGATACAATTGATGATTGACGATCCACGCAAGCCATACCCTAATGTACCTGACGTAAATGAAATACCACGATATGTAAAACACGATGGTAAGATTCATCCACAACCACCTGGCTGTCCTTTAGATATGTATTTAATACTCAAACAATGTTGGACTTATGAAGCAAAAGATCGCATTCCATTCACTGAAGTTCGAGATCGAATGTTGCTTTTAAATGGAATATTTCAATGATCAAATGTATTATCTGGTAAACTAAATTGCTTATACCAAATGAGTAGCTTTAATCTGTATCATTTCCTAATTTCGTCGAAAAATGCGAAGAAAGTTATAAAAATTGTTTCACATAGTAATTTTTTCATCGTGTGATGATTGTTGTCAACATGATCCTTAGTTTTTAGCTTGGTAAAGGTTGTAACTACATACATAGACTGCTGGTTATGCATTTTTCTAGTCGCATATTGGTTTATCGAATGACAAAAATTTGGTTCACAATAAAATCTCGTATTATCATATGCTATACACTAAGGTATAATGTGTTATTCAAAAATATAATTTATTTGCATAATAAAAATATTAATAGTTCTTGAATTTGTTGCTTATACTTTGGTAGCAATGAAATTTGCTTGATCAACCTGACACTAACAAGATAGCTACCCCAACTATTTCTAAGTTGTTGATTCTATGTTGTGACCAGTAGTAGTTTCTAGTGAGACTGAAACATTAGTGAGCCATTATCTGAAAGCAGACAATTCGAGCATTGACTGTTATTGAGCATTCATTATAGTTCATCGCTTTAGATCTGCATCATGAATAGATAAAGATCATTCATGAGCATCTTTAAATAAAGTTATTACAAACAAATGATTGCGTCTAGGTTTGTCTTTTTCGACCATCACAACGAATGCAAGCTCGAAAACAAGGAACGTTTCATTTAACAGTTCAGCAACTACTTTATGTAATGAAAAGCAAATTCATGTCGTGATTGTCCATTACTGTCTTATATTTCTTCTTCAGATTTGTCTTGTTTTAATTTATTCACTTACTTTTGATATGTTTTTTTGATAATTCCTCGAATGAATCTATCTAAGCACGGAAAAATGCAATAGCTACTTCGAACGAAGAAGCTATTAAGATAGTTTGAAAATTTTCGAACGCAGAGATCCCTCAATGAGCTTGTTAACTTGTTAATTTTTTCTACATCATTAAGTATTGTTTCTTCAAATTCTTACAGATAGTATACTCATAATATCAGCTGTTTCAAACGACTTTTTAATTCAGAATGAACAATGATGCCATGCAATTTTATCTATTTCATACTCTTCACTAACAATCATGTAGCACATGACCACGTAAAAAGTATGATTGTTTGTTTTTCCTTGTTTTTTTGTTCATTCATACGAGTGCAGTTTTAAATGTTGTATATAATTAAATTAGATTTTCTTAGCTGCAGAAAATCGCTCGTCAATATTTGCACAGCTGTCAAAAAAAGTAAAGAAATCAAATTAGTATGTGTTTTATGATGTCTAAGAGCAAAAACTAACTAGTAGTTGTTATCGTAAAATAAATATTTATTCTTTCGAATGGTTTTTAAGAACCAAACACAGACATGGTTGCAAGGATTAACTTCCTTGCTATAAGGTTATCAAATATTGACATACATATGAGTAATATAGAGTTAACCGCACAATTAATGTATTGTTTGTAATACATGAAACAAAAAAACGAATCCGAATTTGAAATCTTCATTTTAATGACCTATGACTCATTGTATCTTGATTCCCATATTGTTTCAAATAGGAACTGACCGAAAAAGTCAGCATTGATAAGATATAATTATTATTGTTTAATATGTGTCATTTCAAGTGATTGTAATCATTAAGAAATCGAGTTTATTATAGACTAGCTTAATGATAGAATAAATTTATTACTTTAAGATATTCCTGTATTACTTCTGTCTTAAGTATGAAACTACGTTACTACAATTTACTATTTCTTGAATCTTTCTTATTCCCTTCTAATCTATCTGTGTTAACCAATTTAGATATTCTCTGGTATGCAAACAAAAGATGCGACAAGTATGGTTTTCTGCTTGTTTCATTGTCTATACAGATGCCTAAGTATATGAAGAGGCAATGCAACAGTGACATAGCTCATATAACATATATACTTTTGATATTTATTCCAAGAAAAGATACCTTGATTCTTATAAATGGTAAACCATTCACGATAACGCTGATAAGTATTTTATGCAGCTTACATATATTTTCAAAAAAAGAATGACTGTAAATGTGAAATAAGGTTTTGCAGCTGTCTCTGTTCCCTAAGTCCTAGCAAACGGAGAGATTGTGGAACTGAGAGAAGAGAAAGATCAACGGCTAATCAGTGTCTATCCATAGCAATCGAAGATAATGGGCGTCAGATTCCATTCACAGAGTAGCTTTACAATGAAACAAGTCAATGTTCGACATTGCCAACCAGACTAAGACTATTCTAAAAGTTTTTAGAATGTCTCAAAGCTTTCTTAAAAATTTGAATGGTTGAAATACGTTTGTGAATGTTTTAATTAGTGTTATTTTGAATTTTTGTTTAAGCAAAATTTTGTATTCTAGATGTCGATGATGATGGGTAATGATTTATTGATTTGTCACACTCGTCGTCATATGATCAACATAAAAAGTGTGAACTGATCAAATTAGAATCTTGGAAAATAATCAATCTCATTGTTTCTGAAATGATTGAGATATGTAATAGTTTGTTGAGATCTGTTCTAGATACAATGAACATGTATTTTAAATCAATGGTTAAAATAATAGTAATAATGTTAAACTAAGAAAAATAGAATACGAAAATGAAAAACAAGGAACAAATAGTAGAATGACAGAGCGTCATTATAAAAAAAATTATTTAACCTGCTTTGTATTAGTACAACGACACACGAAGTGCATATGTGAATACCACAATTTAGCTCAGAAGAGGTTACATCAAGAGTTTTTTTCCAGCGAACTTCTTAGAGTTTTCAATTTCTTTTACACAGTTTTTTTTTACTTGATCAACGAGTTCATGCATATGATTGATATTGATATTAATGTGTTTTGGTATTTTATGTTCGATCTGTGTATTAAAGAAATAAAACCAAGCATGTACTTCATCCAAAGTCGAACAATTCAACATTAATTTACGAGCAAATCTTTTGCGTATTTTCATAGCAGATGTAAAAACTAAAGAATTGTTATATAACTCTAGAAGAATAGCCATTGATATCAATTTTGACATTGCACAACATTCTATTACTTTACAATGTTGCAGCTGATTACGATAGCTAATCACACCAGGAACGTGATGAAGTGAATCCATCACCATATGGTTTAAATATTCAAAACTTTTTTCTCTATTAGAAGTCTTGTTGATTCATCAAGATCAGCTGCATAATATTGCCAGATTTCTTTTGGCCACCAAGTTTTACCAGCCTGGAGATCTTCAAAAAAATCGTGAATTATATTTCCGTTTCCTGTAAAAAAATACTTCGAAATTGTTGCTTAGATGTTCATGAACAAGTGGATCAACATCTTTTAAGCCACTATGAACAAAGAGAGCTGTTAAAACATGAATAACAGAACCAGTAACGTAGTGACAATACAAATTGTTACTGACTTTTGTTTCAATTGAGTCAGTCTTACCGCCATATTCACCCATTCCAGTTCCTACTTGACGTGTAATATTCAATATAATTGATTGATCTTTTGCATCAAGTGATTTAAATGCGTTAATGACTTTACCAAAATCATCCAATAATATCCGATAGTCTTCTGTATCACTGACGTTCTTTATAGACCAATTATCAATTAAGGCAGCTCCCGTCACAAACAAACTTTTTTATTTTTCTATGAATTTCAACCAAAATTTCAAAGAATGTTAGTCTTAGCTAGAATAGATTATGGTTAAAATATCTTCTCAAATCTGCGAGATATTCACAAGTTATAGTCAATTTATTGGTCAAAAGTACCCTATACACGGACAAGGCTTTCACAATCAGGATACGAGCTAACATGCCGAGGCGGTTTTTAAGTTGTAGAGTACTTTTAGCGCTAGATCCTCACAGAGCCCGATTTTTGAAATTCTCTTTGTTTGTTTTTTAAATAGTCTTTTCCGAAAAATTCTCGAATTCATGACCAAAAAATCGCTGTTAAAAATGACATATGCAAGTTTTTTATTTCGCCAATACAGAAATTCAAAAATCGGGCTCTATGAAGATCTAGCTCTAACTGTCCTCTATGCAATAAAAACAAAAAATTATCACTTCTATATTTAGTCGTTGCTGAGTAAGGTTTGCCGGCGCATATAGTATACTGGAAAAGAGCGGATTTTAAGAAAAAAGAAAAATAAATCTTTAAAAATCCTATCTTTTCAATATGGAGGTTCAGAAAAACTTATGCAATATCCATAAAAGCTCATCATAAAATCAATCAACTATAGTGTATTCGAGAGTAGACATTTTGCTGTATCTAACGAGCTATAAATCACAAAATTGATAAATTCGACAACAATGGACTTCGTCTGATGGGGAACCTCCCTCCTTAATAGATTTACGAATTCACTATTATAATGATCTGTTTGTTTTCTTCGGACTCATTTTCACTGAAATTGTCAAGAAAGAAATATTATTGTACGACATATTTATAGTAAACATTTCATACCAAAACCTTAAACTTTTCAGAGTTTATCAAACTTCTGAACAAAATCTATAAGACTTTAGTTAAAATTTAGACACAACTTCTTTTTCTGAACTCGATTTTTTAATCAAATATTTATTGAGCATTTTGTAAAGAGGACAAGTAACGTTGACAGAAAAAAATGAACGTATATATCTTGAATCATTAAGAAAAAGAAAATATTAACTTAACTCTGAAAAGATAGATTTCGTACAAACTAGTGAAAAAAATTCTTACTACAAACAATCTATAAAATAGAAGTCAAATCCATTTCTTTTTACTATATTCAAATGAAGTTATTTGCATCATGCATAGCATGAATAACCTAATTTAATTTTTCTAGCGGGTGGGCCATAAATAATCGCACACCTAGTAGTTTCAAAATTTCTCTTCTATTATTTGCTTGAGCAAAACAACCTGTTTTATCAAAAGATAGTACTTGAAAGTCTGTACAAAATGATATATGATTGGATCCAAAATTTGTTTTTTTTTATATATTTGAATAAAGATAATAAGTGAAGGAATGCAAACAATCGTAAAAAATAAATATGAAAATCATCATTGAATCAATAATAAATTTCTATTGCAATCCTTCATACAGATGTTGAATGTAACTGAATTGGTCAAAGATAAAATAGGGCCTTTCTTTACAAGGAACGGATGTCAATAAGAGAAGTGTCTATTGAAAGAAGGCGCGTACTGTTGCTATCGCATAAAGATCTTGGTTACTTTTCAAAAATAAACAGGCTAAAAAGTCAACGTGACTGATCTGCACAAAAAAGAGTGCACTGATTTTGAAAAATCGATATTACCAGAATGTTTCTGAGGTGTACAGACATTTACTACAGTCGAAAACAATGTGCTGATCATTTTCCTACATTTATTGCAAAGAATCGTTGGCACCAAATCCACCAGTCTCATATCCATTTGATTACACTTTATAGAATGAACTGGCTAAAACTATGAATAGGGGCCATATAACAACCAAAGTAACATTAACAAACGAAATCAAAGATTCTGTCAAAAAACTCACAAATAAAAATTTTACATTCTGTACTTTTTTTACTATATGGTTTCATCTAATCCAAAAAATGGAGGAAACTATATTCGTTACATAAAGCGTATCAAATTGAGTTAGAGATAATTCTTTTTTTGGAAAAGTCTTGCAAGAAAATACGTCCTTCATGTGGTGTTAAAAAAATCAAAAAGATGGCATTAAAATGGTAAAGCGGACAAAAAAGAATGATGTATTTGAAATGCATGTATTAAAATAGACATTTTCATCAATTTCATTGCATGGTTTTGATTAGAAATGAAATTCATTGCATCTTCTTAATTGAAATGTCACTTTTCATCAATGAATTTGAAAAACATAATTTCTTTTTTTGATTTTATGACTTCTTGAGTCAGATGTTTCTATGAAAAACTTTCTACTTTTATTATTCGTTAAAAAACAACCTGTGCTAATGAAGGATATAATAATTGACAAGAAACTGAATTCATTTATGTTTCCACCTATTATAAATAATCACATCAGGTAAAATAATCATGAAAGCGGAAAAAAAATATATATTCTTGTTCCGCTTGGAAGATATAAGCCTAGGAAAGTAAGATGTAAAAAAAGCCATATATGAGTATCTTTCCTATCAAATGCGAAGTATCATGATTTCTAATTATCTGGAAGAAACAAAATCCATTAGATGCATTTATTCAGATAAAAAAAACTCTGCCCCATAAAAAAAACACCATATAATGATCATTTTGCCGATCTATTTTTCTTTGTCATTCGTACAAGAAGACATAAAAGAGATGCAACTCATTTTAAAACGTCAGTAGAAATTCAAATATAAAAATGCAACAAGCTTGACCAACATAAATATTTTTATAGAAAAATCTGAACACAAAAGGTTTTCCTTAAATATGTATATTTTGCACTTTAAATCTTAAATTTTCAAATAATGTTATTCTTCTGCATCTACTCTTTGAAGTAGCTAGACATAAAAATACCTTATTCCAATGCTTTTAAGTTGTTTGAATCTCTATAAGTCAAGTCGAAAAAACAATTTTTTCTGTTTATCAATCAATTCACAAGAATATGCATCCATTCAAAAAACAAATATTAGAAAAAAAATACAAATATTAACAAGAATAAAAAAAAATCAAATCGTATACCGTAAAAATTTGTTATGGGAAATGGTTTTAAAAAAATAGTTTAATTTAGCCTAGTTTTGTTTACGACTTGAAGCTCGTTTAGCTTTTGACTGTGGTGTATTAGCAGATGATTGAACAGTTGTATTTTGTCGTGATGGTCCAGTAGGACGTTTTGGTTGTCTTACAGATTTATTTAATGTATTCAATGAATCTGAAACAAATATTTGTTTTTTGTTATTATTTATTATTATGATCAATTTAAAGTTACTTGTTAATATTGTTCCCAATTTTTGATCGATTTGATCAAGATTAAAACTTGGCGTATAACGCTTTTCGCCAGTCTGACTATCAGCTAGAATCGATTTTTTTAATATAAAATATAAGATAAATTTACATCAATAATGATTATGTTTACTTTCAACTTTCAATACATAATAAGTACTTCTGGCAGTAAGAAATTGTGTAGCATAGTCATCAAAGTGCATATTCAGCTCTTTTATTTTTCCTTCATTGTCCATCAGATCGATTGTTTCTTTGAATATAGGAAAAGAGAAATAACGAAGTTTTTTGTTGAAATCAAAAAATCGATCGTTTTACCATCTTGAGGTATACCAACAACTTGTTTCATATAATCAAGTAGACGACGACAAGATGCGTAACTATTGAGAAGTAATTGTTGATTTTCTATTTATACACAAAATAGATCTGTTTATTTTAAAATATGAAGAGACAATTGAAGAAATCTTTTGCTTTTATCAATGAACTTTTTTTATCACCTACCACTATGTACTATCCGAATAAAAGTACAAGGTCCTGAGATAGTTTGTTTTCGTAAATCTGCTGTTCGTATTCCTGTAATGGAGCTTACTGATGAATTACGTCTTGTTTCCATGTTTGTTTTTTCTAATTGTCGTTATGTTCACTTGTCTTTTTTTGTTGCTCAATCAAAATGAGGACTTTCTCTTCTCTTCACGCACACTCCACCAAATTGTTCTGTTTTATGTTGTTTGCAAATCATTTTCTTTCTCATTCACTTTCTCTCTCGTTCGCCTGACTTCGATCTCATGAGCAATGTGCGCACTTCAATATTGTGCTCTCTTCTTCTACACTCTAGCAACAACGATAGTAAGTGGATTTGCTGCTTGAAGGCATGTATATACATTAACGGGCTGAATTCTTACTATTATTATAACATACCTTGTAATAATGATGTATTTGAATAGACTATTGTTACCAATGGATTGATAGCTATTGATGATGCAGAAAATGAATCAGTAAGATTTGATGTTTCACCGTTAGAAAAATTTTGATTATGTGAAATTGATGTGTTAGATATTTGTGATTGATAGTGAAGTCGACGTGCAGCTGTTGATGAAACTGAACTTGCAAGTGCTGTTGCCGATGCCATTGTATACTTTAAACTGGTAGTCGTTTTGTAAAATAAATTTGTACTTGTATTGTTACGTTAAGCACAACAGAACGAAAACAAGATTATTCCGTCGTTTACTGCCGTTGTCGTCATAAGCTAATGTAGAATTGTCATTTACTGTTGTCGCAACAGAATAGAAAAGACGGCGAACAAACTTGAAAAAAAAATCAAAGCAATCTCTTTTTCTTCTTCTTTTTCTCTTTTTTTTTTTTTTTCATCTACTTGACTTTTTTTTCTGATTGATTAATGACTAGCAAAATACATGTCCAACATATAACAAATAACAATTGAAATTTTTCATATGCAATAAATCTATTTCTGGAATTTTATTTCAGTTCCTTTTTTGTGTATCATGTTTTGACAAACATAGGAATTGACTATTTTCTTATCAAAAAAAAAAAAAGAAAAGGAATAAAGATAAACCAAGATAATTTGGAGATACAACAAACAAAAAAAAAACACAAGTTATTGCAATGAAACGAAAAGACAAAAATGAGAAAAGGCACAGACTTCGCAGTGCAAAAGTTTCACACAAATTCTAATAAGTGTGACATCTGATACGCACGAGAAGCAAAAAAAATAGGATTATTAAGACAAAAAAAAAAAATTAGCATTTTAATGAAGAGAATCATTCGTTCAGAAAGAGCATCTGACATTTTTCGTTTTTATAGAGAGACATGACTAAAAAAAGGACACAAATATTTCTTGTCTGACAAAAATATAGATGGTCACACATTGCACATATAATCGATAAACAAAAGATAATACTGTGTTCTTTTTTGTTTTTTTTTTTTTTAGTTTTGGTTTGTTATATTTGATCATTTTGTGTTGTTAATGTTGTTGGTACTTCGAGCATAAGTGCATAATTTTTCATTAGATCAGACGTATCAAGTGAAACTGAATTATTATTATCATTATTATTTGTTGACATAACAATCGAACAAACTGAATTATCTTCATCATCACTAACTGTTGTTTCATCTTCAGTTTCATTTTGTTCATCAATTTCCTTTGAGAAACATTGAAAACAAAAAAAAAAAAATCAATAAATAATAATATTAAAATACAATCACCTACTCGATCAACATCCATCTGACTTATTTGTTCATCTTGTTGATTTGTTTGATTATTTGTTGATGTCATTGTCTCTTGTTCTTTATAATATTGCCATTGAGCTTGTTGTTGTTGTTGATAGAAATAACTAAATATTAAAATTAAATTTTATTTATTAAAATATAAGATTTAAATTTACTATGTTTCTAATTGTGCAATAAATTTTCGAACGAGTAAACGTTCACGTAATGGATTTTCAGTGCGTCGTTGCCGGACACTAAATGTTGGCATTCGTAATTTTTGATAAGACAAAAAAATCATCATTGCACGTTCTTGATCCATTTTTGTTTATTATTGAATTATAATTAATAAATGAGAATTAATAGATAAATAAAAAATAAATAATAATTGGAAGAAAAAACAAGTTTTAATATCGATGACTAGTTAGATACACACTCACACCACACACACTTAATACATTGAAGAAATCTGAAAAAATTATAATAAATTTTTTGTCTTTTCTTATCAAGGTCGCATTGATTAGATAAAAGAAACAACAAGTTTGACACTTCTGTCTGACAGACAATGCATGATGCCCTTTGTTTAGATTTGCCATTCAGATAATAAATGACCTCTTTTTGTGTGTAAAATATTTATAAATATGAAGAACAAAATAATTTTTTGTTGAAAGAAAAAGAAATTGTTGAATTTTTTTTATTATTTTAAATTTTATTATGATGAATTAAAAATATTTTTGTTGTTTTTTTTTTCTATATATTAAATAGATGTCGTTAATTGATGATTATTGAAGTACGTTTAGAATGAACGAACATTACAGAAGAATAGGTGTAAATAAACACCTGGCATTGTCGATTACAATTGAGACCATGTTATATATATTTTTTTTTTCTTTTATTTAGTTTTAATGATGATGAAATAAAAATGTTCTTTGGAGAGTGCAGTTATGAAATAGTTGAAGAGAAAGAAACAATTGAATTGAAATACCTTGATATTTATGAGTTCCTGATAATAAAAGAACATCTTAAAAATTATAATACTGCTCGATGACTCATACATTTCTTTTATACATTGAAAATGAATAAACAGATGTTCTGTTTTGTCGCTGTATATTAATCTCGAACTACCGTCGGATAAAATCATTGTCATTATAACTTAAATTAACTTGTTTAAAAATTAAAATTCCTCTATCGTTTTTTAGTTGAACAAAAAAAAAAAATAAATCAATCATCTACAGTAACTTTGTTGATGTAAAATATATGGCAATTAATGAACGAAGTAAACGAAAGTAAGTATAATAAAAGAAAAAAAAAACTTTGCTTTGCTATTTATTATATGATAATATTTTAGTACGATGGAACGAATCACTGTAAATGAAATTTTCAATGAATTGGAACGTAGTAATAAAAGAGATGATCAAGAAGCCGAAGAAAAAGCATTAGAACATTTTCAGTTAGTTATTCTCTGGATTATGTTTTATATTATTATTATTATTATTATTTGTTTTTTTTCAGAGCAAGCTACAGTACTCAAGCGAAATTTTCAAATACAAAAGAGCAAAAATATTTTCTGAGTGTATGTAATCATCTATAATAAATCTGAAAAATAGTTTGTGTTGATACTTCTGTTTTTTCTTCTAGATTTTGCGTTTTCTTATGAAGAAAAAATTACTTGACTCGTAAGTTTTCAATTCAGATAAAAACACATTATTAAAATAAAGAGAAAAAAAAAATAACATCGATCTAAAACAAATTTTGTCTGTTAGGAGTTTAAATAAATGATTTTCATTGGCGTCATTTATATACAATTGATTATTTGCAGAAGAATTACTGAATAAAAATTATTTTGAATGAATGAAAATACCCAGAAGGTTCAAATAGTTCTATTAAAAATATTCTTCACTTGTTTTTTTAGTTCAACGACACTCGTCTCGTTAACTGCATTTTATTGTTTACGAATTTTATTACGTGATCCTGATTACCTACTTATCTTCGTTCAAGAAAATGGATTAAACGGTTTGAAAAAAGTATGTTTATTTAACAAAATAATTATATTTACAATCAATATGTTTTTTCATTTTAGCAAATGGATATCTATATTCATAGGCTTTCACCAGATTTATCTGATAGCAGTAATGAATCATCATCTATAGCGTCTAAAGTTCTAGGACATATGCTTAGTAAGTATTTTTCAAAGAAAAGATACATATTTATCGTGTTTTTTCTTTGTTACTATAGATATTCTTCAAAAAATTTTAAAGAGTACACCAAATCATGTTGAACGAGAGCATTTAATATCGAGTAATATGATTGAATCAATTACACATTTATTAAATAATAATCGAGATTCTCCACTATTACATGATACATTAAGATTATTATTACATATGATTGATAAAACGTATATAATTGTTGCATGTCAATTTATATCTTCATATTTTTTTTTTTAATTTATTTTAAAGAGAATTTTATATAACTGAATTTCTTAAAGCAGAAACTATTGAAAATTTACTTCATCTACTTGAATATAAAGATCTTGAAACAACACAGTATGTTGAATTTTTTTTTTCAATATTAAATTTTAATTTTATTTGACATATTAGACTATCTTTGCATCTTATGCAAACTTTTCTTGCACATCCTGAAGCACGTCAATATATTCCACATATACCAACTGATTTTCTAGATACATTTACAAGGTATAAAAATTAATTTTTTTTTGTCGATTGAAATTCTTTTTTTTCTTTCATTAATTTTAAGTTATTTGAGTCATAATAATGTTAAAGTTCTTGAACATGCTATTTGGTGTTTAAGAAGTTGTGCTGATAATGAAGATGGGCGAAGAAAAATACGTTTAACTGGAGCTATTCCACTATTGCTTTCACTTCTAGAAAATGGGTGTGGGTGGGTATTTTTGTTTTTGTTTAAATCTATGATAAATATATATTTTTAGAAATCGTTTTGATTTTTCATGTCCATCAATAAATGCAAATCAAAAACGACCCGGATCCATTTCAAAAAGAACTGTTCGAGCAGATTCAGAGGTAACTAATCCGATTATTTTAATTTAATGAAAACTTACATAGGATACCT